CTGAAAGAGAATAATATGTTCTAACATCGACCAAAATTAGAGAGTTCAAGCACTTTTTTCTTGAGGAATCTGCAGTTATTCTTTGAGTGTCCCATTTTTTAACGATCACCCAAATATATAAATAATCTTCCCATTCTTATGGAATTCTTCCAACTTATCTATCACTAGTTAGCGGTCTTGGACTCACCCGAGAAACTCCAATTTAACTCCCAAATAAAACAAACGCTTACTTATACGCAAGTTTGAATCAGTCACTGAAGTTATGGCTTGATCGCCACGAAAACAATGGCTGCCGTGAGTTACACCCCTCAGCAAAAATCTTTACAAATTTTTTTCTAAAACCATGGCAAAACAATATCAAACGATATCAAACAATCCACGCAATTCTTCTCATTTTTTGTTAATTCAAAACTTTTTGTGTTGCGATTTTACTTGTTGAGCAAATCAACTTTGCAAAAAAGTTTCATCATTCACCCACAAAGGGAGGCAAAATTCGCGTGAATCCGTTTGTTGCAAAACTTTCAAAGATTCCACTTAGCAATTCGGCTTGTGCTCTTGCAAAGTTTGCCTACATGCTGATAAAATTCTAGCGCAAAAGCTTGGCTGCAACTCTTCCTATGATTTTGGTAACAGTCAGGCATTCAGGCAGCCAAACAGACGAACAATCCCCCTTATCAGGTCAAATGGCTCCATAAGTTGCCCATCTCTTCTGGGTGGAAAATATAGGTGTGCTTTCAGCACAATCGGTTGAGCGACTACCGAAAAACATCCTGAATTTTTTGCAATTCTTCCCCATGTTATATAGATCTTAGGAGGATTTTTTGCAGGATTTTCTGCACATATGTTCATGTGCATTGGCGCATTTCTGGGAAGCACCTTCATTCATGGTCTGCTTGGTTTCCCTCCAGTGCAGGGTCTTGCATTGTTAGGTGGTGCTGTGTGGAGTATAGGTACTAACTTTTGAGCTCTTATTGTTAGTTGCGGATCATGAAGTTGAATTTTAGGCAACGCTTTTGTACTCCAGATAATGAATCATTTGGGCATGGCACTTACCACTCTCGTATGTAGCGTGCTCTCATGCTTAACAGGATGGGCGACGTCAAGGTGATTCTTGGCGGCTGGATTTAGCACTTCGTTTGTTCTTCAGATACGGACTGCTCGGTCTGCCTGCAGCTGTGCCTGCAAGTGTGGCATTAAACTACTTCGGGATAATTCTGCTTCTGATAGGGTAATCGTTTCTAGTTCAAAGTAATTGTTGCCAGTGAAGAGATCAGGTCTGAAAGCGGAATATCGCATTTTCGTTAAAAGCTCAACTCGCGCATACGGACTTATATTATAAACTAGCTGAAATCTTTGATCGGTCCTTGTCAGCGTAAATGAGAAAAGTCAACATTCTACTCACTTGTACGCGGCATTGCTTTATCCCTTCTCATTCACGTCTTCTCGCAGCACGTATGGGGCATATCAGCCGCCATCGGTCGTGAGTACCCAGGGGTTGAGGCAGCGCACGGGCGCCGCGAGCGCAGGAGATTGCACTCCGAGCGCGGA